GAGTCCCTGCACGATGCATCATAGGCATAATTGGCAAGAAAGGGTGATTGGGTATGTTCAGTGGGAGTGAGAGTAGCAGAGTTGCAGAAAACTCCGGCTGCTGTTTCGGTGGTTGCTGACTGGAGGACTGTGGCTGCTGTTCGGAGACAATCAGTTGGGTGATTGACAAGTCGCGGTGCACTCTGCAGCAGGAGGGTGCAGAAGAGCATCGGGGCCGAGAACGAAGCGACACAACGAGGCCCACAGTCAAGTATGAACAAGAGTAAGCAAGTCAATCGGGTAACCGAGGAGGGGGGTTGTTGGGCAGAGAGCAGCAGACATGCGGCGCCGCACAACAAGACAACAACACAGCAACACAGCAAAGCACACGCTGCAACACAGAAAAGCACGGCAGGGGGGGAGACACACAGCGATGCAACAACACAGCAACACAGCAAAGGACACCAAAGCACGGGAGAGGAGGCACACAATAATAAAACAACACAGCAACAGCAAAGCACGCAGGAAGATGAGGGGGGGATGGCATCATGAACACAGAAACCTGCATGTACCAAATTTGTAGTAGGCCTGCACAGAGGGGCGTGGATGCGAAGGCCTACACAGAGGGCGTATGAAACAAACTCAATTTGTAGTAGAAGATCCTCACTTGGAAAAGGTAGCAAGTAGCTAAAAGCCAAACCAAATTTGTGATCCAATACGACTAGGATTCAGTCGAGATGCTCGCCTTAGGAACTAACTAGATCCTCACTTGAAATTAAATAGGGTGAGTACTGGCGCATGACCGGGGTCTATGAAGGCGCTCGCATTCATAGCATGTATTTTCTAATCATGAGCTGGCTCTCGCCTACTCACATCAGAAGGAAAACCTTGTGAACGCTGTCATCAAGAGCCAGGGAGCCACACGGTGGATGTGTATGGTGCCACACGTAGGAAGGGACTCTCGCCTACTCGCATCAGAAGGAAAGCCTTTCAGGGAGACACGAAGCCACAGAATCCCCAACTCAGGCCCTATTTGGGGGGGGAGGGATGTTTGCCCCCTATTAGGAGGGAAGGATGTTTGCCCCC